GAACGCCTGAATCTAGACGTGTCCATGGAGAGGTGCAGAAAATCGAGATGGAACTGGTTTTCTGCATCTCTACATAAAACACGTCCAGGTTCAGGAGCTGAATCCAATCCTCTTTGCTAATGGGACCTCGCCCGGGGGGGGAGGGGGGGGAACTGTTGGTCATGCAGCAACGAAAGACAGAAGGACAGCACGCGTGAAGTTGGCGAAAAAAAATACAAAAAAATCGGCAGAAAAACAGTCAGAACAAGTGCCTAGTCGTCCTACTCGCCGTACGCCAACATTTTGAATGCATCTGGACTCAAATTCGTCTAGATGCGCTCAAAATGTTGGCGGATCGCGGGCAGTGCAACGAGGCCCTAACTCGGCAAAAGTGAGACGCCAAATAAGTCCTTCGGGACATCCGTCAAAATTGGACCGATACAGAGAAAGATTAGCATGGCCCCTGCGCAACTTGCAAGGATGACACGCATAAATCGAGAAATGGTCCAAATTTTTAAAATTGGAATGATACAGAGAAGATTAGCATGGCCCCTGCGCAAGGACGGCACGCATAAATCGGGGAAAAGCCAAAGAAAAATGGCAAGTGATCTCTCTCGCTTTTACATGACGATGCGCGCCATTCTACACATCCGCCGGTGTGCGGTAAGTGCAGCGAGGGCCATCTCACTCTCTCATAAAATTGCCTCGTCAGTACCGCAGCACACTGTACAGTCCACCGACCGTCCCAACGGCACCCCTCTCATCTCATTCCAATTCCACTCACCTATGCCAGGGTCGGTGTCAATGATCACCTTCTTACGGCCCCCAACAAAAAATCTCTCGGGCTGCCATGCATCCGGCGACAGCACCGCCGGCCTAATGGCTTCCGATTCCGCGCTCATCCTTCTCCGGCTTGACGTTCGAATGCCTGCTTTCTGGGGCTGGGTCCCACTTACACGAATTAAGCGATATTGACCGTAGATAGCAAAGATCAACGGGTAATCCGTGCAAGTGGGACCTTGCTTTCCGCGGCTTGCTTCCTCCCCCTTCGTTCTCTCCAGCTTCGTGTGGCTGCGAATAGAATAGCCACTCTCTCTCGACTGTCTTCTCTCCTCTCTCTCTTCATCCACTCAGCCGCTGAGCTACACCGCACAAGGCGCGCATGTATGCTTGTGTTTTTAGCGAGGGCGTGCAAGAGAGGCGCGGTGCAAAAAATTTGAAGACTGCTGCAGAAGGTCCCGCGCATCAACCGGCGCGCCTTACGTCAGTTTGACGGTGGACTCACACTAGCACTACTTCCCAGGATGCATCTGGCTGCAATTACCGCGAGACCACGATGAATCTGACAGCAATCGCGTCCAGAGCTTTGTGGGAAGCGTCCTCGTGCGAGTACGCACCTCTCAAGCTCCTCCGTTCCCGCGTGTCACGTCGCGCCGTTGCGTCTCATTGACTGCCGACTCTCTCGGATTCTTCCGCGGTGATTCCTGCGGTGTGACCCGCCCTGAGATCTTTAGTTGGTGCAACCATGAGTTATTCACACACAAACCTGAGTTCGAACCCACGAAGTCTGAAGTACCTGGGAGTCTGTGGCAAAGAAAAACCGCCTTTTGACCAAAAGAGCGCCACTTGACGGAAGGGAGTTGACAAATTTTAGGTCAGAAACCTCTCCGAAACACACCTGGGCGGCTTGATCCAGGCGGACTGGCGGAGGAAGCCTCGGCAGTCCCAGTCCCGACTGCAGGGGGGAAAGATGGCTCCGTGAAACCTATCTCAAAGTTGGCCAAATCAGTCCCTCGGAGCAGGCCAGTTCCCAGCCCGTCAGGGGTGCGTTTTGTACCCCTGCCCTGAGTCAATTTCGTCGTTGTTCGTTGGTCCAAACCTTCATGGGGACAGGCAGTTGTTGCTTGCAGAGGACCAGTTGTTGTACGTAGGAGGCCGAGGAGGCCATGGTCCTTGAGTTCACAGCCCCTCAGGGGCGCGTTTTATACCCTTGAAACATTCTTTTGTCATTTGGTTGTACCGATCGTTCGTTCGGGTCCAAAGGGCCACGGTAGTCAATTCGAGAAAATAGATTTTGAAATGTTCAACTTGAGGACGCTATAGCTCATTTCCAATATCCCCAAGGACCATTCCCCAAAAGACTTTTGTCCCCTAAGAACCCACTTGCGTCATGGTCGCCTGCCGCTGAAATACGACTCCTTGACACAGATACTGAAGCCCACTATACGGCAGCCTTAGGGCTGCGAACAGAAGTGCACTTCAAATAGACAACGTACACATTATAACGCGTGCATTTTCTATTCAAATTTTGGAAAGAAAAAACTCGTGTTTGAATAAAACAATATCTTTTATTTTTCTTTCCAGGTTGCACCTGCCCTTGTGCTCTCCGCCACTGACCTGCTGCAGGGATCTCTCTCTCTCTCTCTCTCTCTCTCTCTCTCTCTCTCTCTCTCTCTCTCTCTCTCTCTC